ACCCCCAACCATAAAATTATTTTCGTTGCTACTCTATAACTGTAATTTTGCTACTGTTATGAATCGTAATGTAAATATATTTTTGTTTTCCAATGGTCTTAGGTGACCCCTGTGAAAGGGTCGTTTGACCCCCAAAGGGGTCGCAGCCAACAGGTTGAGAACCGCTGCTTTAAAGGAATGTAAGCATTCGAGCATCTCGAGTTTCAGTTTTACAAGATGAAAAGGCTCTAGAGATCTGTTGCACAACAATATAAGTATGCTTAACCCTATTGAACTGCAAACTTAAAAATGGTTGGGATGGTAAATATAATGTGAGGAGTTTTTTACCCCCAAAACCACCCCCTGAAAAACAAAAAAGGGAAAAAGAAATTCATGAGCATTCCAGAGTGGCTTTTTCATCTCTCTTGTCCCCACATTTTTTTAACCCATATCATGTGTACCGATGTGTGTAAATGTGACCTCACCCCTTCTCACCTCTTTTGCAGAGACACTAGTTCAGAAAGCTTGAGGGTCTTGCCCTTCGGTTAGTGTTGGAGTTAGAATTGGGAATCATGCTTGTGTCAAATGTATTTCTGTGCTGAGGTCATTTTCTTCCACCTAAATCATGAGCCTTTAGAATGCAATTTCCTGGCCTTCCATGCTTCACCAGATTAGTTTTTATTTACTTTACTCCTTTATTTTCATATCATTTTACACACTTTCATTCTTTACCTAACCTAACCTAACAACCACAGTCACGTGCCATGTGCAAATGAGGTGAAGTCATTTATTCCTTTTTTATTGAGTAGTTGTGGGAACAAGGCAAGGAGGTGAATGTGCAGCCACTGCTCTTAGGAGATGTGTCTGTAGAGAAAATGAGTGGAAGCGTCTAGCAGCATCTGTGGCTTTAGTTGGGAAGCAGAAGCAGGAATGGAAATACAGATTTTCATGCCATCTGCAGAGTGAAAGCCATAAGTTATCATCTTTATTCTGCCCCTATGAAAGCAGAGCTAGACCTGAGGCCTCTGCCTCCTTTCACGTTAGAACCACACCATGGCCTAAGCCTGTTCGCCTTGATACCTCCAATTTTTCTTTGATTACCTTTGCTATTATTGTTTCTCAACTAAAAGATAATGGTTTTCTTTTTTCCTACTTTTGTTGTGATATATTTTGTTGTGTTAGTTTTAGGTATACACCATAATGATGTGATGATACACGTATATACTGTGAAATGATCACCACGGTAAGATTAGTTTAACATAGTTACAAATTGTT